TTTTTTTTTTTTGTTTAGAACTGAGGAAGAAGGTGAGGAAGAAGAGGCAGCAGATGAGGAACAGGAAGCTGAGGAAACAAAACAGGACAAAAAGCCAAGGTATGATATTTCACCTTTAAAAAATCCAGTAAACAGTTTTATAAAAAAAAGAATAAACCAAACTAATTTAAGAGTGTCATTCTTCTTTTTGTATGTGTCTGTTGAAATGACAACAATTTTAAAATTGTTATTTTAAGTAGAAGTCGAAGTCGAGCAAGCGACATTGCTGACAAAGAAGAAGATTTGACAGAAGGTGAAAAAGCCATGTTGGTAAGTTATTTGGAATCTGAATAAAGTGTTATTTCTTTCAAAATAAACAAATTATTTATTTACAATTTTTTCCATTAAAATAGTTGGAAACAAAAAAAAAAAAAGCAGCAATTAAAATGCTTTTAACGTTTGCGACATATAACATTGACGGTATTTTTTGCTTTTTTTTTTTTTTTTGTTTGAATTTATATGTTGAAATAGTTTGGTAAATTTTGTTTTCTCTCGCATAAACTGTAAACGTTGATAGGCAGCAAAAAAAAGACAAGAAGAAGAAACTCAAGCAAAATTGGCCGAATATGAAGAAATGCGACGAATTCAACGTGAAAAGGAAGAAGAAGAAATGAGAGCATTAAAGGAGAAGCAGGAACGACGTCGTCAGGAACGTGAAGAAGAGGAAAGAGAATTTGCTGAAAAACGAAGGCAGGAAGAGGAGAAACATCGACAGGAGGAGGTCATTGTTAACACCAAATTTGACCACTTAATTAGCATCAAGTTTATGACTTTGCTCTTACTTTTTCAACAATTGACAGCTTTACCAGTTTTCGCTGAAACACCACTATAGATCACAGCTTAGTTTACATAAATTTAGGAAGAACGTAAAGCAAGACTGCAAGCTGAAAAAAAGAAAAAAGAAGAAGAGAAGAAGAAAAAAATGCAGTTGGCTAATGCAGCTTTCACTGGTGGTGAAGGCAGAAATTTTGTTATCCCCAAAAAAAAATCTGGTTCAGATGCTGCCAGTAAATTCGGTAATATTGTCCAGGTACAGTGACACAAATTATAGAAGACTATTTGACTTTACATGTGACAACTACAGTGAAAAAAACAGCAAAATAAAAAGATTTTTGGGGGGCCAAAGTTGTTTGCCAAAG